CGGAGTTAGCCGGGGCTTCTTCCTCGAGTCCTGTCATGATCGCGCACTTTGGCGATGGAGCACGCTGTAAATCGGGTCTCATAGCCAGCTACGAGGTTTTCGAAGCAGACTCCATTAATTTTGAAGATCACAACGGATAAGACGACTCTGTTAGAGTGCCATTTTGTGTACTAATCATCATACTAGCAATTACCATGGTGACCAGCCATACATGACCCATCTGCTAGAGTTGCTCGAAGGATGTGTGTGCTAAAATTCCATATTAGGAGGTCAAATCGCAAAAGGGGCTAAAAGTACAATAATATTTCCTGTGACACATAGATCTCAGGTTCAGAACCGATCCTTATCCGTTCTACTCTTCCCCCTTCCTGGTCCTTTAAATAGAAAAATCTTCGAGCCAATCCACTCCCCGATACAGCTCCCCCCACCCAAACCCACCGAAGTGAAACCGACGAGACAGACCAAACACCAAAATGCTCTCATCCACCGCTCTCCGGCCGCTGCCGCCGGCGACGGCGACGACGCCCGCGTACCCCGCCACTGCCACCGTCACCGCCACCTCGGCCACGCCCGGGCGGCGCTCGGTTGCGGTGCGCGTGCTGCGGGACTACGGCTCGATCCCCAAGCGGGAGCCCTTCAGCTCCAGCCGCAGCATCCTCGACGAGTTCTTCAAGCAGGAGAAGCCTCTCGTCCAGCGCACCAAGGACCAGATCACAGGTACCCTGCTATGATACTTCTTCTCTAATTCTCTCTTCCAGTACTACCCAGAGTTCCTAATTTATTACTGTACGTGTTCTTAGCCGACCAGTGGTGGTTTTGTTCAGGCTTCTTAGCTTAGATCTGGTTTCGGTTCTGTAGCTTGCTTGTTTAGTGTTTCGCGTGTTCATTTTATCTTTTACTGTTGAAAGCTTGTTTGTTTGGTGTAAATTCGAGTGCCAGTTTCATGGTGGTAACAAAGTGAAATATGTAGAGTGTTAATGGCGGGAGCTAAATAGTTTCGGATTAATTTAGCGAGCCTGTTCGACCGCATAAATCAGAGGTTTAGCAATTGTATTTCATAACAGATCTCTAAGCTACTGTATAAGAAATTACCGCGTCTCTGAATTTGAACAGTGTTAGTTGGATCTAAAAGAATTCTAACAGTGGGTCTTCTTATCTGGGTACAGATTATTGCACGACCCTTGAAGGCGACGATTGCTGCAGCTGCTGGGATGCCTATTTTGAACTCAACAAACTCGAGGTATGCGCCGCGGCTAAAATCATCTTTTCATAAATCAAACTAACCACTCTTCTCCATTTCCCAGCAAGAGCTACCGCAAGAAGAAATCTCGAGGATGGTGAAGGACTCGCGGTCAGACCCAAGGTACCTTATAAGCAGCATACACCACCGGTCGGACCTACGGAAGAAGATGGCCGAGAAAGCTCACAATTCGGCGCCATCAAACTCCCCGCGGCAAACAGCGAAGCCGAGGCCCTTCCCCGTCCCCGACGGGCTGCCGAAAACGCAGCAAGAGATCGACGAGGATGAGGAGGCTCTCATGCCGGAGTCTCCTTACACGAGGCTGCTGAGAAGAATGGGGAGGTTCCCCGACTGGTATACCCCTCGCCCGGACCATGAGACCGACTGAATCACACCATGGACCAGCCTTGCCTTCCAGATGTACAGCCTGAAGCTCTGTCTCATGGCACCAAGCATGGAAGCTTGGATTACTGTTGCCTGCTTAGTTGGTTTTTGCTGAGTGGATAAATGGAACTATGTAATAGTGGTTGTTTCTTGTAGTGTCGAGTTCTTCTCTTTAGATTCAGATACCTCCGTTTTTGCTGTTTTTGTATGATATCTGCTAATGTATCTCTGTATATATATGTTTGGGAATAGAGTTCTTGACTACTAGT